GTCGAGTCTCAAGTCACCAAATGTGTGACTCGAGTCCAAGTCATGTGACTGGAGTCCACAATTTTGCTGGGCGCACATGCGCACTAGGCTAATTCAGGATACGGATTGTAGTTTTTATGCCATGATTTCAGGAGCTGGCGGCGAAAAGTTCGACTAAACAATTCAGAGACTGAAACGAATACATCAGATGACAAATGAAATCAGCTGTAACTTTCAATAGTAAAACACAGCTTAAAACGATGTTTGAGAGAACCTGAATACAGAAAATGAATGGTGAAGTCCTTTCCGGACAGCGTAGACTCCTCCGCACCACTCTATTGGTTGATTCGGATTCAATCTCCGACTTCCGACTTCAGTGCGTTCAAGATAACTAGGTACTGTGAAAAAACGAGCTTTGACTGGGAAAATCCTTTTGATCGGTCAACCAACTTGGAATTCCACGTCGTAAACTCAGACTTTCCAACCTGAAAATCACTGAAGTCATGATTTGACATTATTTTTTCCCTCGAGTTCCCAGTTGTCTTGAAAAATGTATGCACTCTAGATAAGAGCGTCTGCTAAGTGACTAAAAATGTAAATCCACTGTATCCACTGTATCCCACTGGCTATAGGGTGAATGCACCAATTTGTGAGTCGCTCTGGATAAGAGCGTCTGCTAAATGACGTAAATGTGCCCTTGAGCAAGGCACTTAACCCTAATTGCTCCTGTAAGTCGCTCTGGATAAGAGCGTCTGCTAAATGACTAAAATGTAAACGTAAATGTAAATACTTCCCAAGTGGGAAACTCGGGTATCATCTTTCTACAATGAGTGAGCAAGTCGGACATTTCAAAGTTCCTGACATAACGTGAACGCGGCAAAAATCTGTTGATGTGCCCTTGAGCACGGCACTTAACCCTAAAATGTAAATGTTGTTAATTAAATAGTCCTCTTTGATATCAAGTGTCTTTTTAGCCGCGCTGTAGTAAACATCCCACAACATTGAAAGTCTTGAACGTGCCCAAGACAGCGCGTCATACAAGTCAGACGGACCCAAGTCATATGATCTAGTGCCAGATCACGGAAGCAGAGGAAAACAAAGCATCACTCAACTGCGGTAGTGTATAGTCTGTTGATTTCACGATTAGTTAGTTCAACTAACTATTGTTAAGTAACATTTGATTTACCGTAAATGATTTAGCTGATTTGCCGTAAATGAATATGGCACATTGCTGTTGTAATTCTGGCTTTTTATGGCAGCATATGTTACCTAGCTAATGCAGATTGTTTGGTCAGCAGTACTCCTCATCTGTTCCTCTTTTGCACTTTTAGAGTTCAGCAAGGCCCATGCCCTGAAGATGGCAGATAAGAACTTTCTTTCAGTCTTGGTCATAACACTCTGTACAGTCATTACATGTGGTGAGTTTGCACTTGTTCAACCAAGAAGCTCTGATTTTAAGAGTTGGTAAAAATCTTGCCGCGTTCAAAACAACTGGGAACTCGGAAAATAACGAGCCCTGACTGGGAAAATTCGTTTTAATGGGTCATCCAACTCGGGATTCCAACTCGTGAACTCATGCCGCGTGCGCATGCTAGTCGGAAATAGGAATCTCGGAAATGGCCCACTTGTTGATTCGTTGAACGCTGCACGTGTATAACTACAAGCAGTTAACAAGTTGGATATTTCCGAGTTTCCTAGTTCCGGAAAAATACGAGGTCAAATCATGACGTCAGTGATCTTTAGGTCGGAAAGTCGGAGCTCTATAAAGAGGCCCGAATTTGATGACCGTTCAAATCGATTTTTCCCAGTCGGACCTTCTTTCTAGAGCTTTGACCTGAAGGTCAGTGACGTAATGATTTGACCACATATTTTTCAGAGTTCCCAGTTTTCTTGAAAGCACCATCTGAACCAGTATCTGGCCATAAAGAGAGATAAATATGACGAAATCTCCTCTGACGCCCAGGGTCCTACAATTCAAAATCCCATTAACCAGCTCTGCAAACGTTATAATCAAATTGTATTTCTCAAAATCGCTGAATAGCCTACAACAGATATAGACTTTACCGTGAAATGCTTACCTACGAGCCCTTTTCCAACAATGCAGAGTTCAAAAGTATGGAAAGATTAGCAAATTAAAAACAAAATGGTTAAGAAAAAGGAAACCCTAACAAAATAACAAGGCTATAAAAGGAGTACCAGTACCGAGTCAATATGCAGGGGTACGGGGTAATATGTACATGTAGGTACGTGTAAAAGTGACTAGTCAATCAGGAAAGGTCTAAATAAAATCAATGATCTTTCGGGATACTGTGCTGCTGGATCAGTAAGCCGAGCTGTGAATGGCAATAATGAGTGAATTTATTGGAGGTGCTGAAGGTGGATTTAGCGCATGCACACTTGGTCAAAAACTATTTTTATTTATACCTTTTTTGGAAGTACATACCATGTGTAATCGCAGTAATGACTATAGTTGTTCTGCGAAACTACATTTTGGTGAGTACCATTTTGACGTTTGCAGAGCTTGTTAATGGGACTTTTGCAGCGTTCATAACAACTGGGAACTCGTAACTCTCCAACTTCCAACTGCAATTCTGACTGCAACTCTGAAAAAAACTAAGTTTTGAACTCTGAAAAATAGTTTTGAACAGTCATTCAACTCGGAATTCCAAGTCGGGAACTCTGGCCTCTTTCTAGAGCTCTGACCTGAAGATCACTGACATCATGATTTGACCTTGTTTTTTTCTCAAAAATCCCAGTTGTCTTGAAAGAACCTTGAAGGATCCTGGGCGTCAGATGAGATCTCGTCATATTCATTGTCTCCTCAAGCCCAGGTACTGTTTCAGGAATGGTTCATTTAGCTAAACAGCCCTATCTGAATACTGCAATATCATATTCCTTCAACAGATGGGAGTGTATCCCTGTCTGCGCCAGCCACTGTAAATCTGGAGGTCAATGGTTCAGCCAATATCACCATAACACCTAGGTAACTTTTCTTATACAGTGAGGGAAAAAAGTATTTAGTCAGCCACCAATTGTGCAAGTTCTCCCACTTAAAAAGATGAGAGAGGCCTGTAACTATGACAGACAAAATGAGAAAATAAAATCCAGAAAATCACATTGTAGGATTTTTTATGAATTTATTTGCAAATTATGGTGGAAAATAAGTATTTGGTCAATAACAAAAGTTTCTCAACACTTTTATATACCCTTTGTTGGCAATGACACAGGTCAAACGTTTTCTGTAAGTCTTCACAAGGTTTTCACACACTGTTGCTGGTATTTTGGCCCATTCCTCCATGCAGATCTCCTCTAGAGCAGTGATGTTTTGGGGCTGTCGCTGGGCAACACGGACTTTCAACTCCCGCCAAAGATTTTCTATGGGGTTGAGATCTGGAGACTGGCTAGGCCACTCCAGGACCTTGAAATGCTTCTTACGAAGCCACTCCCTCGTTGCCCGGGTGGTGTGTTTGGGATCATTGTCATGCTGAAAGACGCAGCCACGTTTCATCTTCAATGCCCTTGCTGATGGAAGGAGGTTTTCACTCAAAATCTCACGATACATGGCCCCATTCATTCTTTCCTTTACACGGATCAGTCGTCCTGGTCCCTTTGCAGAAAAACTGCCCCAAAGCATGATGTTTCCACCCCCATGCTTCACAGTAGGTATGGTGTTCTTTGGATGCAACTCAACATTCTTTGTCCTCCAAACACGACGAGTTGAGTTTTTACCAAAAAGTTCTATTTTGGTTTCATCTGACCATATGACATTCTCCCAATCCTCTTCTGGATCATCCAAATGCACTCTAGCAAACTTCAGACGGGCCTGGACATGTACTGGCTTAAGCAGGGGGACACGTCTGGCACTGCAGGATTTGAGTCCCTGGCGGCGTGGTGTGTTACTGATGGTAGGCTTTGTTACTTTGGTCCCAGCTCTCTGCAGGTCATTCACTAGGTCCCCCCGTGTGGTTCTGGGATTTTTGCTCACCTTTCTTGTGATCATTTTGACCCCACGGGGTGAGATCTTGCGTGGAGCCCCAGATCAAGGGAGATTATCAGTGGTCTTGTATGTCTTCCATTTCCTAATAATTGCTCCCACAGTTGATTTCTTCAAACCAAGCTGCTTACCTATTGCAGATTCAGTCTTCCCAGCCTGGTGCAGGTCTACAATTTTGTTTCTGGTGTCCTTTGACAGCTCTTTGGTCTTGGCCATAGTGGAGTTTGGAGTGTGACTGTTTGAGGTTGTGGACAGGTGTCTTTTATACTGATAACAAGTTCAAACAGGTGCCATTAATACAGGTAACGAGTGGAGGACAGAGGAGCCTCTTAAAGAAGTTGTTACAGGTCTGTGAGAGCCAGAAATCGTGCTTGTTTTTAGGTGACCAAATACTTATTTTCCACCATAATTTGCAAATAAATTCATAAAAAATCCTACAATGTGATTTTCAGGATTTGTTTTCTTCTCAATTTGTCTGTCATAGTTGACGTGTACCTATGATGAAAATTACAGGCCTCTCTCATATTTTTAAGTGGGAGAACTTGCACAATTGGTGGCTGACTAAATACTTTTTTCCCCCACTGTATCTGTGCATCTATTGCCAGTTTGTGGCAGTATTCTATGTATGTCTATTTGTTGTGATGTGTGATAATGTGATGCAGTGTTTGGCATTTATTTATTTTTGCAGCTCTCCTCTGAATGTGTCCGCACTCATTTTTTTTAACTTCACTGACTCCTCTGCAAATGTGACCTCAATACTTCAACTGCCTCAGCAGGTATGGTTTTTATACCACTCAAACTCACTGAAAGCATGACCGAAGCACCATGTAATTGATTATTAATGCAATCTGATATCTGAATCTATCATATTTCAATGATCTACAGTAGCCACAGTGTGTAAAACATCAATACTAGTGGCTCTGTTGTAGGGATGAATGCATATTATGTCCAATTGTAACAATTGTTTACACTAACTGTTTTATTTATATGTGCTGTATTTCTGATTTCCAGGTAGAATTGCCTGCAGATGCCACATCAAGCACATTTGAGGTTCATGCAGAACATGTGGGTCAGGTGACAGCCTATTTATACAGCATCAACACTGACATTGCAAGGTGAGCTGTTCTCAGTTTATGTCTCTTAGTGAATTTCAACTCTATCAGAATTTCCCACGTCACATTTCAGACAGATTTTAAACCAACACAATGTACTAAAAGTCTCTTGTTTATGTTTTCCAGCTTTAAGACCAGAATCCGTTTCTTGGTCATTAGAAGCAATATCATCGATATCATTAACCAATTCATTGGTTGGATTTACTTCCTTGCATGGTCTATCTCATTCTACCCTCAAGTATATGAGAACTGGAGAAGAAAAAGGTAGTGCCTCTGAAACTGTCATTAAAAATAAATAAATAAATAATCTCTGCCTTAAATGAGTTAAAGAACATGTGGTCCTCTGTAGCTCAGCTGGTAGAGCACGGCGCTTGTAACGCCAAGGTAGTGGGTTCGATCCCCGGGACCACACATACACGAAAATGTATGCACGCATGACTGTAAGTCGCTTTGGATAAAAGCGTCTGCTAAATGGCATATTATTATTATTATTATTATTATTATTAACATATGGATTTGATTTCTGACTGTGTCTATTTGACAGTGTGGTGGGGTTGAACTTTGATTTCCTGGCACTCAACTTGACAGGCTTCATTGCCTACAGTGTCTTCAATGTAGGCCTCTTCTGGGTTCCGTACATGAAGGTAAGAGTTCTGCATGCCCTCACTAATAGTGTAACAAATTGAGACAAATCCTAATTTGAGATCTGCACGCACAACTCGGACATCTGTGTCAGTCATGGATTGACACCAATAGGGATTTGTTCAAATATTTAGGTATTCTATGGTCCTATTGACTTGGTTTTTACTACATAGTTCTGTTATTTATTTTTCAGGAAGAGTTTGTGAAGAAAAATCCAAACGGTGTGAACCCAGTGGATGCCAACGATGTGTTTTTTAGTCTCCATGCAGTTGTGCTGACTCTTGTGTATATCTGTCAGTGTGCAATCTATGAGGTGAGTAACAGAAGACTAGTAAAATGACTTCCTACATGTCCCCCTTGGTTATAGACCAGAGACAGATGTTGGTTGGCAAAATAATGATCAGCTTATGTTTTGATTGTTGGCAAAAATAAATACTTTATGTCTGATCCTTTGATCACACATTTTTGGAAAGGAAAGCATTGTTGTCAAGGCCTCAAATGAACATTGACAGTTAAACGCTTGTTGAAAGTAATGACTGTGTTCCTGTGTTAAAGAGAGGAGGGCAGAAGGTGTCCAAGATTGCTATTGGCCTTCTGGTGGTTGGATGGACATTCGCCCTGGTCACCCTCTTTGTTGCTGTGGCCAATAAGATCACCTGGCTGGAATATCTCTATTATTTCTCCTACATCAAGTTAGGTGTCACCCTCGTCAAATACATCCCACAGGTATGGATTTCACAATATTTGACTGCATATTGAATGGTTTTAGCTTATACACAATTATAATTTGTTACAATAGATATTGTTGATGCTATTGATTTTCATGATCACCACTACATTGTCTTTCATCAATACACTGTCTGTGTGTACTCAGGCCTACATGAACTACCAAAGACAAAGCACGGACGGGTGGAGCATTGGCAATGTGTTGCTGGACTTCACAGGAGGCAGCTTCAGTCTTATTCAGATGATCCTTCAGTCATATAACAACAGTAAGGCTGCTCACGCCTACCTTGGAGCACTAATGTGCATACACCTCAGTAAAACATAATTAGTCAAAGTGAAAACGACAGTCAAAGGACAGTCCCAACAGTTGAAAATGTGTCTTCAGTTGCAGGCATTTACAATCTCAATTGCAGTCATTCATTGTTTATTTATATAGCTTCTATTTTCATGGGGTTTTCTTTTCAAAATATATATTTTATTACGTTTTTACAATTATTCCTGCACATTAACACAAGAGACAGTGGCACAATTATATAGAAGAATTTCCTTTTCATGCCCATCCACCATTCACCCATCTCTTTCCCTGTGGCTGGGAGAAGAGCAGACAAATCAGAATAAAAAAAGTAATCAACATAAAGAATAACAACAACAAAACCATAAAGAAAGAAAGGGAAAATTAAATTGTTTAAATAATGGTGTTATACATGTTATAATAGTACATTGAAATAGTGATACATTTCAATGTTGTTTTTCAGATTAGTTTCATCAGTCACATATTCTGCCTTACTACATCACATGCTTAATTATTTGATGGTTTATGTCAGGGTTTCATGGAGTGTTTCTATTGTTTCCTAGATGAATGGAAGCTCGTCTTTGGCGATCCCACAAAGGCTGGACTTGGTTTGTTATCCATATTCTTCGATGTGGTGTTCATCATTCAGCACTACTGTCTATACAGGCATAAACCGCATTACGATCCAATGGGTGACCAGAAATAGGCTAATAACCTCTCACTCTCTACCTCTGCCAGTGAAACTGGGGCCAAATTAGTTTCTATAGGACTAATATAAGGTATTTATTCTATGCTGTGTTCCCAGCCATTGAATGGGAAGCTATTTAGGGAAGCTATTTAAACACAGGGCCTTTGCTTAAAAAGCACTTTTTGCAAAATGATTGTTTAGGATAATAGGGATTTATTTTTGTTCCATAATTTGTGAAGAAATTCATAGTTATGGTTTGATTCCATTAAGGGAGGAACTATGTAATCTTTTTGAAAAATGACTGTATAGGCCTATAACTTTTACATCTGTCAAAGCAATCGTTAATTTTATACAATTGTTTATTTTTGTTATTTTGACTTTTCTATATTTGAAAGGTAATTTCTATTTGGAAATGGAAATAGAACATCATGCTTTATTGTCAAATTAGTAAAAGTTTTCCACGAATTAAGTTTTGTGTGATGTTTCATTATGCTTACATTGATTTTATGATGGCGGGGGGAACTATTTCTGTTTTGTTGCACAAATGTGTAGACATGACTCCCCCTAGAGGTAGTAACAATTATTTGTCCAGCCATAACGCGCATGTCTACCGCGGAGTATTGTGGGTGTCAGTGAGGAAGTAAAATGGCGGACCTGGCAAACGAAGGTAAGGAACCGCTCAGTGGGGAAGATAAACAAATCTAATGAATGAACCACAATGGCGAGTGAATGTTGTCCAGACAGCGACGGGACTGTCAGCAGATATGCAGGGAATGCGCCGTTGTGTTTGCAGCTCGATGCGGAGGCAGCGGTTTGACTAAACATTAGCATACGTTAGATCCCCCGGCCTTTGCTGGTTATATTTTACAGGGAGGTGGAGTGGGGGGGGTGGCGGTCCGGACCTTGTGGCACAACCGGGGGAGGGGCAGTTAACTTGTAGGACGTGAAAATATCACATCTTTACAGAACTAGTTAACACGAGCTACCTACCGATATAGCTGCATTTTTTGTAGCTAGTTAGCTAGACAAGTAAAGCAAACATTACATACTCAAGAACGAACAATAGACATCACATCTGGGTCACGTGGGAAACACCGGGTGGAATTTATCTTCTCGAATAAGTTAGCCTTTTTCAACTTCCCACCATCACCATGTAGCTAGATCTACTATGGTCAGAAACTACTAGAAACTAGCTAGCTAGTTATCGGCAAAACGCAGACAACAATGGCTATGTCCGACCATAGCTAGTGTTTTGCACAGCTGTGCTGCTTACAGACAGAAGTTCAGAACTAGGTCATTCTTGTCCTTGCTCATTGCCCGAGGTTACAAGTCACATGTGTCTGACCCATTGAGGTAGGCCCGACATACTACATGTTCCAAATTCAGAGCGCAATTTACTGTACTAGCCTAGTGACGTAATAGGATTACCAACGTGCTTAGCTAGCTAGATGGATGGATTTGAATGACTTTGATATACAGGATCAAGTCAATCCATTTCATGTAGCTAACAATGCAACCTGGTCTCAGAGTATTTACATTTACGTCATTTAGCAGATGCTCTTATCCAGAGCGATTTACAAATTGGTGCATTCAACTTATGATACCCAGTGGAACAACCACCCTAGGATTACTTTTTTTACTATTCCAGGTATTCCTTAAAGAGGTAGGGTTTCAAGTGTCTCCGGAAGGTGGTCAGTGACTCAGCTGTCCTGGCGTCGTGGGGGAGCTTGTTCCACTATTGGGGTGCCAGAGCAGCGAATAGCTTTGACTGGGCTGAGCGGGAACTGTGCTTCCGTAGAGGTAGGGGGGCTAGCAGGCCAGAGGTGGATGAACGTAGTGCCCTCGTTTGGGTGTAGGGTCTGATCAGAGCCTGAAGGTAAGGAGGTGCCGTTCCCCTCACAGCTCCGTAGGCAAACACCATGGTTTTGTAGTAGATGCGAGCTTCAACTGGAAGCCAGTGGAGTGTGCAGAGGAGCGGGGTGACATGAGAGAACTTGGGAAGGTTGAACACCAGACGGGCTACAGCGTTCTGGATAAGTTCTAGGGGTTTAATGGCACAGGCAGGGAACCCAGCCAACAGCGAGTTGCAGTAATCCAGACGGGAGATGACAAGTGCCTGGATTAGGACCTGTGCCGCTTTCTGTGTAAGGTAGGGTCGTACTCTGCAAATGTTGTAGAGCATGAACCTGCAGGATCGGGTCACCGCTTTGATGTTAGCGGAGAACGACAGGGTGTTGTCCAGGGTTATGCCAAGGTTATTTGCACTCTGGGAGGAGGACACAGTGGAGTTGTCAACCGTGATGGCGAGATCATGGAGCGGGCAGTCCTTCCCCGGGAGGAAGAGCAGCTCCGTCTTGCCAAGGTTCAGCTTGAGGTGGTGATCCGACATCCACGCTGATATGTCTGCCAGACATGCAGAGATGTGATTCGCCACCTGGTTATCAGAAGGGGGAAAGGAGAAAATGAATTGTGTGTCGTCTGCGTAGCAATGATAGGAGAGACCATGTGAGGATATGAGGACATAGAGAATCAAAATATGCAGAAAGGGAGGAAAGGAGGGTTGAGGAGGCAGAATCAGGAGATCGGAGGGAGAAGGATTTAGCAGAGGGAAGAGATGATAGGATGGAAGAGGAGAGAGTAGCGGGAGAGAGAGAGCGAAGGTTGCGACGGCACATTACCATCTGAGTAGGGGCAGAGTGAGTAGTGTTGGAGGAGAGCGCGAGAGAAAAGGATACAAAGTAGTGGTCGGACACTTGGAGGGGAGTTGCAGTGAAATTAGTAGAAGAACAGCATCTAGTAAAGATGAGGTCAAGCGTATTGCCTGCCTTGTGAGTGGGGGACGGTGAGAGGGTGAGGTCAAAAGAGGAAAGGAGTGGAAAGAAATGAGTCAAAGGCAGACGTAGGGAGGTTAAAGTCACCCAGAACTGTGAGGGGTGAGTCATCCTCAGGAAATGAACAAATCAAGGCGTCAAGCTCATTGATGAACTCTCCAAGGGAACCTGGAGGGCGATAAATGATAAGGATGTTAAGCTTGAATGGGATAGTGACTGTGACCGCATGGAATTCAAATGAGGAGATAGACAGATTGGTCAGGGGGAAAAGAGAGAATGTCCACTTGGGAGAGATGAGGATTCCTGTGCCACCGCCGCGCTGACCAGATGCTCTCGGGGTATGCGAGAACACATGATCAGACGAGGAAAGAGCAGTAGGAGTAGCAGTGTTTTCTGTGGTAATCCATGTTTCCGTCAGCGCCAAGAAGTCGAGGGACTGGAGGGTAGCATAGGCTGAGATGAACTCTGCCTTGTTGGCCGCAGAACAGCAGTTCCAGAGGCTGCCGGAGACCTGGAACTCCACTTGGGTCGTGCGCGCAGGGACCACCAGATTAGAGTGGCAGCAGCCACGCGGTGTGAAGTGTTTGTATGGCCTGTGCAGAGAGGAGAGAACAGGGATAGACAGACACACAAGCAGTCAGGAAAGCAAAGGCTAACTTTTTCAAACAGAAATTTGCATCCTGTAGCACTAACTCCAAAAAGTTTTGGGACACTGTAAAGTCCATGGAGAATAAGAGCACTTCCTCCCAGCTGCCCACTGCACTGAGGCTAGGAAACACTATCACCACCGATAAATCTACAATAATCGAGAATTTCAACAAGCATTTTGCTACAGCTGGCCATGCTTTCCATCTGGCTACCACTAACCCGGCCACCAACTCTGCACCCTCTGCTGCAACTTGCCCATGACCCCCCCGCTTCTCCTTCACACAAATTCAGACAGCTGATGTTTTGAAAGCGCTGCAAAATCTGGACCCCTACAAATCAGCTGGGCTAGACAATCTGGACCCTTTCTTTCTAAAACTAGCTGCCGAAATTGTCGCAACCCCTATTACTAGTCTGTTCAACCTCTCTTTCATAACGTCTGAGATCCCCAGAGATTGGAAAGCTGCCGCGGTCATCCCCCTCTTCAAAGGGGGTGACACTCTAGATCCAAACTGCTACAGACCTATATCCATCCTGCCCTGCCTTTCGAAAGTATTCGAAAGCCAAGTTAACAAACAGATCATCGACCATTTCGAATACCACCGTACCTTCTCCGCTATGCAATCCGGTTTCCGAGCTGGTCACGGGTGCACTTCAGCCACGCTCAAGGTCCTAAACGATATTATAACCACGATTGATAATAGACAGTACTGTGCAGCCGTCTTCATCGACCTGGCCAAGGCTTTCGACTCTGTCAACCACCGCATTCTTATTGGCAGACTAAATAGCCTTGGTTTCTCAAATGACTGCCTCGCCTGGTTCACCAACTACTTCTCAGATAGAGTTCAGTGTGTCAAATCGGAGGGCCTGTTGTCTGGACCTATGGCAGTCTCTATGGGGGTGCCACAGGGTTCAATTCTTGGGCCGACACTTTTCTCCGTGTATATCAATGATGTCGCTCTTGCTGCTGGTGACTCTCAGATCCACCTCTACGCAGACGACACCATTTTGTATACATCTGGCCCTTCATTGGACACTGTGTTAACAAACCTCCAAACGAGCTTCAATGCCATACAACAATCCTTCAGTAGCCTTCAACTGCTCTTAAACACTAGTAAAACTAAATGCATGCTTTTCAATCGAACGCTGCTAGCACCCGCCCACCCGACTAGAATCACCACTCTCGACGGGTCTGACCTAGAGTATGTGGACAACTACAAATATCTAGGTGTCTGGTTAGACTGTAAACTCAACTTCCAGACTCACATAAAGAATCTCCAATCCAAAGTTAAATCTAGAATCGGCTTCCTATTTCGCAACAAAGCCTCCTTCACTCATGCTGCCAAACATGCCCTCGTAAAACTGACTATCCTACCGATCCTTGACTTCGGCGATGTCATTTACAAAATAGCCTCCAACACTCTACTCAGCAAATTGGATGTAGTCTATCACAGTGCCATCCGTTTTGTCTCCAAAGCCCCATACACTACCCACCACTGTGACCTGTACGCTCTTGTTGGCTGGTCCTCACTACATGTTCGTCGTCAAACCCACTGGCTCCAGGCCATCTATAAATCACTGCTAGGCAAATCCCCGCCTTATCTTAGCTCATTGGTCACCATAGCAGCACCCACCCGTAGTCTGCGCTCCAGCAGGTATATCTCACTGGTCATTCCCAAAGCCAACACCTCCTTTGGCCGCCATTCCTTCCAGTTCTCTGCTGCCAATGACTGGAACGAATTGCAAAAATCTCTGAAGCTGGAGACTCTTATCTCCCTCAATAACTTTAAGCATCAGTTGTCAGAGCACCTTACCGATCACTGCACCTGTACACAGCCCATCTGAAATTAGCCCACCCAACTACCTCATCCCTATATTGTTATTTATTTTGCTCTTTTGCACCCCAGTATCTCTATTTGCACATCATCTCTTGCACATCTAGCATTCCAGTGTTAATACTATTGTAATTATTCTGCACTATAGCCTATTTATTGCCTTACCTCCATAACTTGCTACATTTGCACACACTGTATATATATTTTCTGTTGTATTTCTGACTTTATGTTTTTTTACCCCATATGTAACTCTGTGTTGTTTTTATTGCACTACTTTGCTTTATCTTGGCCAGGTCGCAGTTGTAAATGAGAACCTGTTCTCAACTGGCTTACCTGGTTAAATAAAGGTGAAATAAAAAATAAAAACACATAGTTGACAGGCTACAGAAAAGGGTACAATAATGCAAAGGAGATCGGAATGAAATTAACGAAACATCTGGGAAAGCGAGACAGTGGGGCCTCCCTCACTTACGTTTCACTGAAACACTCAAATATAACTCTCCCAACTTCCACTTTAGAAATTATAATTGTTGTAAACTACAGCGGTTCAATGTTTTCTAGGAATATACTCTAACTTAGTTTATTTAGCTAGCTAACTTGGTACAGTATTCTGTATGTAAATCCGAGACAATGCATTTAGTATGATATGTTACGTTTTGCATGGTATGTATTAATTTGTGGATGTCCAGCACCCATTTCATATGATATGTTACGAATTACAAATCATATTATATGTTAAAAATGTTGTAACGTACAATATGTTCTGAATTTGCAAAATGTATGAAATGTTACGAATTACATTTACATTTGTACATTTTAGGCCTTTAGCAGACGTTCTTATCCAATTTACAGTAGTGAGTGCATACATTTTCATATTTGTTCGTACTAGGTGGCTAACGTTAGCTAGTTAACTGGGTTAGGGGTTAAGGTTAAGTTTCAGAGTTAGGTTAGCTAAAAGAGTTAGGGGAAGTGTTAGCTAACATGCTAAGTAGTTGCAAAGTACCTAAAAAGTAGTTAATGTTGCTAAAGTTGTCCGTGATGAGATTCGAACTCACAACCTTTGGGTTGCTAGAGTTTACGTTATATGCCCGCTCCGACCAACCACCCTACTTTCGTTCTTGCCTTAAGTAACCATCTGTCTAATGTAACCATACCAAACGTAACATATCATACTAATTTGAGTGTCCCGGATTTACTTTTACTGTGTTACGTCTAGTCTATGAGACCAGGCTGAACAATGATGCCAATGCAAATAGATATCTTGTTGAGCATTGCCAGTATTGAACAGTATCTATCACTGAAATGTGCTGCACATAATGCCTCGATCAGACAGTGTCATTGCGTTTTGGTACACCAGAGGTACATTCATTTCCAGTGGAACGCTGCGTTTGCCTTGCAGCATTGCTTTGCAAAAGCATATGCATCAAACCGTATGTGTAGACTTGACAGAAATAGTAGCAAAAGTTGAATGTTGAACTTTTGTTGCACACACATCCACTAAAATGTTGGTTTACATAATGAAAAAAGTTTGACTGCAGAATTTATTAGGCAACAATTGACACAATGACACCTCGATCAGACCTACAGCGTCATTGCGTTTTGGTATACCAGAAGTGCAGCATTGTGTTGCAGAGGCAGCTGCAGTGCGCTCTGTGTGGTGCATACGTTGCGTGTGTAGACTTGACAGAAATAGTAGCAAAAGGTGATTGTTGAATTTTGTTGCACACACATTCAGTAATAATTTTGGATTACATGGATTAGCTAGACACTGCAGAATTTATTACACGGCATTGATGCAATGACACTGTCGGCTTGATTACTTATTTCTTCATTGTTTTGCACTGACTCCCTTTCGCTGGCTCTATGCACACTCACTAGACTCTACCCGCACACATACTTTTTTCTTTAGCAAATATTTGTCTTATTTTTTAACTCTGCATTGTTTAGAAAGGGCCCGTAAGTAAGCATTGCACTGTAAAGTCTACACCCGTTGTATTCGGCGCATGTGACCAATACAAATCTATTTCGATTTGATCGAGGCATAAGAGCACAGCCACCGGAAGTCTAAACTTTCAACTGGCTCTCTACTCTCGATTTTTTTCTGATTTCACCATCAAAAATAACAATGACTTGTAACACTTTTCTTCAGTGCATGCTCATTCATTAAAATGCTCATTCAAATGTGTGAGATTTAAGATGTGAAATTGAAGGTTGTGTGGCTATCCTAAACATAAGAGGCTTAGACGGTAGGCACTATGTGAATAGCTAGAAGACTAATGAGATTAATGCCTGTCGCCACTCTTTGCTCCAGAATGTCACTGTGTTTCTCTGGAGTTGACAGCTGCTCCATTGAAAGACACTGGAACTCCCATTCCATTTTGTGAACCCCTCTCACTTCTCTTCTGTGGCCTGGATTCCTTTCTCATTTCGTCAGATGCACGAGGTCATAGGAGACGTGCTTGCTATTTGAATCTGCGACAGTCATTGGACGAAGCCTATCACACACGTCATTCATTTCTGTCAGTTTCTCATTTCAATCAAATGAGAAGAATAATCAGTTGTTTTGGTCTCGACAACTTGTTCCCCTTACTGAAACTCATCGGATTTTTCCTTCTGTTCTTAGCAGGAAGAATGTGAGATGTTCAGCTTGTGATGGTTAGAGCCAGAGGTAGGGATCAGAATTGACAGCATGGACGAGGACAAGGGTGAGTGGAGATGGGTGAGGGGCTCTATGCTGAGTGGGTAGGGGACCCAGAAACAAAACCAGGTTGCACTCAATTGCATTTACTTTAATGAGACAATGTTTTGGTCCGAGGTGGATCTTTGTACGTTTTTTTCCAAATAATTTTGCCTCGTTAAAGGTAGTTTGGGTGCGATATTGTGCAGGCCTTTTATCTTGTCCAGCACCTGAGTTCTGGTGATGTGAGCAAGTGTCACCTCACTGATTTCTATGTAAGTTATTCTCTCATGGTAAAGAGTTGAGGCTATAGGCTACATGAAGTAGATAAAGTTATACTGAAAAAAAATATAAACGCAACAGTTTCATTTATTTTACTGTGTTACAGTTCATATGAGGAATTCATTCAATTGAAAAAATCATTAGGCCATAATCTATGGATTTCACATGTCTGGGAATACAAATATGCATCTGTTGGTCACAGATACCTTAAAAAAAAATGGGCCTCACAATGGTCCTCAGAATCTCGTCACGGTATTTCTGTGCATTCAAATTGCCATTGATAAAATGCAATTGCGTTTGTTGTCCGTAGCTTATGCCTGTCCATACCATATCCCCACCGCCACCATGGGGCACTCTGTTCACAACGTTGACATCAGCAAACCGCTCGCCCACACAACGCCATACACGTGGTCTACGGTTGTGAGGCCGGTTGGATGTACTGCCAAATTCTCTAAAACGACGTTGGAGGCGGCTTATGGTAGAGAAATGAACATTCATTTCTCTGGCAACAGTTCTGGTGGGCATGCCAATTGCACGCTCCTTCAAACCTTGAGACATCTGTGGCATTGTGTTGTGTGACAACTGCACATTTTAGAGTGGCCTTTTATTGTCCCCAGCAGCTGTGTAATGATCATGCTGTTTAATCAGCTTCTTTATATGCCACACCTGTCAGGCGGATGGATTATCTTGGCAAAGGAGAAATGCTCACTAACAGGGATGTAAACAAATTTGTGCACAACATTTGAGAGAAATAAGCTTTTTGTGCATATGGAACATTTCTGGGATCATTTATTTCAGCTCATGAAACATGGGACCACCACTTTACGTTGCATTCATATTTTCGTTCAGCGCACAGTACGTTGTAGCCTTTACTGTATCTTAACAACAGACATTAATCTGAAGTAACTAGCCTAGTCAGAAAGGCTATAGAGTACATTTTAAACAGGCTAAGTATAGACTAGAGTGTGTATGATGTATTGAGTTTAACTCAGCATTGTGACACATTTTTATTAAATCAAGGAAGTGCAGTCTGTTTTATCCACTTCATTAATTTGATGAAGTAAAAATGCCATAGAGTTTATTTTGTGACAAAGCAAATCCATTTAGTGTCCTTTTGGTTTTTATAAAAAGGGGAATGTTTTATTGCCATATCACAGATAATAGCAGTGGTGTGGTTGGAAACCTCAGTAAAACGCTGTAATGATGCAGAAGTTCTCGTCAAAGGCCTTGCAGTGTGCATCCACCATCTCTGGCAAGCGTTTATGCATGTTTCACACCTGGAGGGCACATGAGCAATACCAAGCCATCACAAAGCCTTGTGCCTCAGCTGGGGACGACTGACCACATAAACCGGCAAGCTAAAACACACACACACACAAACATGCATATTGACGCCTCACACATAGACACACTTTCACATTCTTCACACACGTAGCTGCTACTCTGTTTATCATCTATCCTAATTGCCTAGTCACTTTTACCCCTAACTACATGTACATATTACCTCAACTACCTCCTATCCCTGCACATTGACTCGGTCGCGGTACTGCTTGTATAGCCTCGTTATTTCTATTTAATTGTGTTGCTAATTTTCTTACTTTTGAACTCTGCATTGTTGAGGAAAGTGCTCGTAAGTAAGTATTTCACAGTAAAGTTTACACCTGTTGTATTTGGCGCATATGACAAATAAAATTTGATTTGATTTACTAGGCCTACAAATTGAAAGCTAGCTTTTATATCTGCTTAATATCTGCTTTTACTGTTCAGTGTGAGTAGCTAGGCACATCTGCCTTCCCAGCCTTCTAAGACAGGCTTTGCTGCCCTTTATGTTCAGAATGTACACCTATCATGACCATCTCACCTTCACCGTAGTTCAACATAGCTTTGTTTCTGTCATTTTATTGCCTTAAAATGGGTGCTTTCCTCCTTTATACACATTAATGATTTATTAGGTCAAGCCCAGTGTAGTTGCATCATGTTGGCTCGGATCCCTAGAAATGTGAAGCACACACATGGGCGGTGAAATTATAGAAAGTAAGTCATGCACACACATCCTGGCAATAGGAGCCCATCTACATGGCTTAGCCTAAAAATAGGCAAGGGTAAATTATAGCCGCAGGGAGGTCAGGGGTTGATACCATCCTTCAAATCCATCTGCTGGGCCTGGCGATCCTCCACACATCCTACTCCACCAAGACCAGCACCTCTCCCTCCTTAGTTGTGGCAGGTAGCAGACTATTCCAGCTGGGCCAGGGTGAGTGCCCAGAGCCTTCCCACTGGGCACACACTGGTTGAATCAACATTGTTTCCACGTCATTTCAACGAAATGATGTAGAACCGACGTGGAATAGACGTTGAATTGACGTCTGGCCAGTAGAGCCTCCTATTCAATTAAGTCTTATGACTCGAGTTGTAATTATAGCTTAGGGAGAAGATTTACTAGGTCCTGGCTGGGGTTCTATCAAAACTTTGTGGGCACTGACAGTGACAGGGGAGTCCACTTACACTGACTGGGATGCCTGAGCCCTGAGGTGTATTGTGTGGGGAAAGCGAAGTAAGTGCACAGTTGTACAAAACTTGTCACGGTTTCATTGGTTTCACTTTGGCCTAGCCTGCGGGTGTTTGTCAGCTCCGTAGAATTCATCTTGTAATATTTGTAGTCTAGAAATGCAGATAAGGCTCAAAGTGAAGAGACATCCATCATAAAGCTTTTGCCCAAAGATGTGCGAAATGATATCTCCAACAGTGACACATCTGATTTCTCTTGCAGAGAAGCCTGCCATAGCCCCACCAGTGTTTGTGTTCCAGAAAGATAAAGCTCAGAAGGTGAGATACACACTCTTTTCACACCTCTTCTGAAAATGTAAAAAGTGTGATGGCATGATATGAAGCGGACTTGGCTTCACACTGACTGGATAATTTCCTCGGTTTCCTGTGTCCGACTATCTGTTTCTTTCTTCCTCTATCTCTCCATCTTTCTCTGTCAAATCCTTAACAGAGATCAGTAGAAGGGTCCAGTGCGGAGGATGGAGAAGGTAAGGATGAGGAGGGTAACAAGCAGGTTCTAGTGCTTTGGAAAATTGAAAATGTCTGTCTTTATATTTTGCACTGAACAAAAATATAAACGCAACAATTTCAAACATTTTACATTTTAGTCATTTAGCAGACGCTCTTATCCAGAGCGACTTACAGTTAGTGAGTGCATACATTTTCATACTGGCCCCCGTGGGAGACGAACCCACAACCCTGGCGTTGCAAGCGCCATGCTCTACCAACTGAGCTACAGGGGACTAAACCCTACTTAACCCATACCACTGACAGTTTGTTTCTTATGCCTACACTGCCCCGTTGTGGTTTCTAACAGGGTAGCAGCTCATTTTACTGAGTTACAGTTCATATAATGAAATCAGTCATTTGAAATTAATTCAATAGGCCCTAATCTATGGATTTCACATGACTGGTAATACAGATATGCATCTGTTGGTCACAGATACCTTAAAAAAAAAAAGTAGGGGCGTGGATCAGAAAACCAGTCAGTATCTAGTGTGACCACCATTTCCCTCATGCAGCGCAACATATTTCCTTCGCATAGAGTTGATCAGGCTGTTGATTAAAATGTCAATGTAAAAAATGTAAACAAATTTGTGCACAATATTTGAGATAAATATTTGTGTACGTATGGAACATTTCTGGGATCTTTTATTTCAGCGCATGAAACAAGGGGACAACACTTTAAAATGTTGCGTTTTATATTTTTGTTCAGTATAGTTACTTTGCTAGTCTTTGTTCATTCTGTCTCCTCCAGACTCTGATAAAGATGAGAGTAGTTACTGTCCCCCGGCCAAGAGGGAAAGAACATCGTCACTAACACAGTTCCCACCTGCACATTCAGGTAGTTGTATGTTTTGTTTCATTAAAATACTTTCCTTAGTGTGTGGAGAAAGGGTGTATACTCATGTTATTTCTCCTTGTCTCTTGCAGTTTCTAAGAACAATGTGTTCATGCCATCCAGTTTCTGTCAGTCCCCGACAGGAAATAATCATTCAGATTCAGAACCTGGTGAGTTCATGAATAGTTATCTTAAGATCTCCTTTTCAATCTATTTGATATTTGCATGATAAGGAAAACTACCCTTGAAGAATAATGACAAGAATGTTCTGCTTTTTCTCCATAAACAAAGTTCTGGCTTAGCTTCCAGCTATCTCACGTTCCCTCGCTCTCTTTCTCAACAGAGGAGAAGACAGTTGGGTTTCGCCTGAAGCCTCCCACCCTGATCCATGGACAGGCTCCTAGTGCAGGTGGGTGCTCTCTCAAGTCAATGTCATGTTAGTTCCTAAGGCTTTATTGTCCATTAAGGGACAAAGGAAATGTGTTTTGGGGGTCTAGTATGCAGGCTCCGTAACAGGCAAAAACACAATGTACAAAACATCACAAGAAGATGGCAAAAAGATGGCCCTTCTTTGTCTGGCGTTGATCTGTCCAGAGCCTTATATTTAGGCCAAGTAAAATGTGTTGCAGGCGTCCCGAGCCAGAAACCCAAGGAGCTGCAGCGCAGTGTGCTACGACCAGCGGTACTGCAGGCCCCTCCGGCCACCAAATCACTGACCCAGACCGGTAAGCACACTTTCAGGATGGATTAACCTTAGTCTTCAGATCCTCTCAAACAAACAGCTTTAAGACTTTGTTCTGTTCTGCGATGGCCATTCTCCTCCAGCTTTCTTTCATCTCAATGTGCTTGGACAAAACATCTGAAAGTGAAAGGAATCCAACCAGTCTCTTCTTGTGGTCCTGATAGGGTTGAACAGTGGTACGAATGGAGTGAACAGGTCATCAGAGGGTCTGACAGTCACCCAGAACAACACAGAGAACTGTGATGGGTCGACCACGTCACAGGTAGGCGGAGAGGTGAAAGGGCGCAACACGGTAGCTACGTCTAGTTCACTTGAATTATTTAAATGGCTGTGAATACAGTGGCCTGTAATAAACTATATAGTTATCAAGCGAGTTCATAACAACAACAAAAAACACAACAGGACAGACACAAAGGCAGGGTTTATGCTTGAACATTCATCATGGAATTTCCATGAATGTCTCTCGCTGCTTTAATCTTCTTTCAAGGAGAAGAAAAGCGAAGGGATGAGAGTAGGAAAGGAGGAGGGAAAACAGATCTTCCTGTGGATCGTTTGTATTTGGCCAGAATGTCAAAGACAGAGCCAAGGTGACCTTGAATAGTTAACTAAAGTGCATGTCATATGGAATACGTTTCAAAGATGTTATCAAGTGCTCTGGGCTTTGCCTCATACCTGACAACACCCCATTGGGTGTGTGGGTAAATCACAATATAGCAGCCTCTTGTGTCCTTGCATGCTTTGTTACGTTCTTTTGATCTGTTCCTTTGTTGTTATTTGTCTGATCCTTACCCTTTTCTCCATTGGTCTAGGTTGAGCAAAGCAGTGAACAGAAAGGCTCTCTGTCAGCAGAATCAGGGGAAACCAATTATTTCCTACAATACAGAAGCACTCCCAGGTTAGCTGTTTATGGATTCTGGCTCCAATGGATATGATCAGTAATGTGTTTTATTAGGCTACTCGTTCATCATCTCCCATATCTGACTAACATCCTTTCTCCTGTATTTCCCACCCAGCTTACAGAAGGCTGAGAACAAGGCTGATGATGGGGATAAGTTTGTGTTTGGACAGAACATGTCGGATCGTGTCCTAGTAAGACTTGTTCTATTGTGAGACTAATCTAGTCATCTTTTATCACCGTGTTTTTTCTACCGTATGTCCCTCTTCCAACTAAAGATGGCATCCACAATGTTGTGTTAAAGCATGTTGAATTACATTCTTGTTTTGCAGAGTCCGCAGAAATGTGAGCAAGCAGCAGAGGGCAGTAGAGATCCCCCCGCCGCTGCACCCTGTGAGCCCTCGTCACAGGACAGCAGCCCTGAGAAAGGTGGGTAAATAAAGAATGCTGGATATGAAATGAATGTTAAGAGGCGTATGTAATGGCAATGCAATGAAGTCAACACTGATTTTTTTCAGGCCCCTACTATTTGATGGTGTTTGAATGCGGTTTTGGTTCTCTTCTTTGCAGACAACAATGTGACAGAGTCTTTGGAGGAGTCGGCGGCAGCCTACACCAAAGCTACAGCCAAGAGGTGTTTGTTAGAGAAAGTAGAGGTCAGAACTGGAGAGGAGTCTGAGAGTAACGTTCTTCAGGTATGCAAGAGGTCTCCTACGTGTTTGGTGTTTAGTTGGTCGATTTCAATGTCAGAGAATGTTTGTAGTAACATTCCATTTACTTTACCATGAAATTTAGCAATTGCTGATTGATAGTTTTGCGTTTATATGTCTCCTCAGACAGTTGGAAATAGGCTGAAATGGTACATGGTCATTCTCTGACAGTGGCATGTTTTTTGTCTCCTTAGGTCCAGTGCAAGTTATTTGTGTTTGACAAAGCGTCCCAGTCTTGGGTGGAGAGAGGTAGAGGACTACTAAGGCTCAATGATATGGCTTCCACAGAGGAGGGATCGTTACAGTCCAGGCTGGGTACAGTCATTAATCATGAATTAATCATTAGTCATGAATCAAATCATATCAACCATTTAGTGCATTTACAAATCTCAATACACGTTACTGTCATGCCACATTACCCTGGATTGTATCGTATGATACTATGGAGTTGTTTATGTACATCTGTCAAAACGCAACTCCCGTTTGAAGGTATTGGTTATTCTATACATTGTTTCTGACCTGAGTTTGTATTATTTTCTGTGCTGTAGTGATGAGGACCCAGGGCAGTTTGCGTCTGATCCTCAACACCAAACTGTGGCCTCAAATGCAGACGGACAAGGCCAGCGAGAAGAGCGTCCGCATCACAGCCATGGACACTGAGGACCAGGGGGTCAAGGTCTTCCTCATATCGGTACGAGAAAGACATCATTAGTTATTACCAGAGCCATATATTTAAGAGTGTTAGGCCAACTTTTAGAATGTTTAATATTGTTCTTATTCTAGGCTTTCAGTTACATAGAATTGTTTAAATATTCCCCATGTAAGTTAATGGGGAGCTTACATGGCTGCCATAGAATGTTGAAGTGTCATGTAAATGCATCATAATGCGGAAACCACATTGGCCCAACTCTCTAAATACATGGCTCTGGTTATTACATAGTAATGACACTGACTGTGGTAATAGATGTTGAGTATATCTAACACTGCCAGAACATCCAGTTTAGTGCTGAGTTATGTGTCTGTTCCAGGCAAGCTCTAAGGACACAGGGCAGCTGTACGCAGCACTGCACCATCGTATCCTGGCCCTGCGGAGCCGCTCAGACCAAGAGCCAGAGCCCCGGGTCCCCATCCCAGACAGCCACATCCCTCATCCCCAGTCTAACGAGGAGGATAGTGATGAGGACGAACCGCTCACACCCACTGCCAACAACACAGGTAAACTAGATAACCTTTTAGCCTAGCTGTTACCCTAACTTTTCCAATCGCCACAAACTGATCTGAAGACCTCTTACTGTGATTGTTCAAAAAAGTGATCTAATGATATCCTGGACACAAAGTAATGGTCCAAAACTGTTATCTGGAAGTGATCTGGGAAAAGTTGTCTGGAGGTCCAAGAAAGTTATCTGGACATGCCCCCTAATGGTCCAACAAATGTATTTGAAAGTCCAAGTAAGTGATCTTGGACACCCTCACTGATGGTCCAAGGAAGTGATCTGGGGGGATTCAAGGAAGTGATCTTTTTCCTTGGATGTTGTGAAGTGTCTTGGATTTTCCCTTATTTCATGCAAGCAAAAATATCTGGCCCATTCAAAAAGCCCAAGAATGTAATTTAAAACACTATTTGATTGGACTGCCCCTAGCCTATCACTCACCAGGCCTGTCTCTCCTCTCCCCAGAGGGTCCAGAGTCCCAGGCCTGCGGGACTGGCAGTGGGAGTGGGTCCTCATAGCACCTGCCCCCCTCCAACCGCCCACGCACTGCAGTAAGGACCCCTTACAGGCACCTCCATGGACACCTCAGGCCAGCATCTCCCCAGTGGTCCAAGGTCACAGTGGAGCGCCAGGAAGGATCCTATGCAGGTGTTACTAAGTTAACTCTGCAGTTCACACTCTGCATTCACAGTATATCTGGGATGGATGGACTTTTTTGTTTAGTTTTTGACTTCTTTTTTTTTTTTTTTCTAGAATAGGATTTTTGTGGGGTTGGGGGGGGATGTTGTGAATTGGACACTCATCATATTGATGAGTGAAGGGAATGAGAAAGCAGTTTTCTTCTCTCGCCGATGTAAGTATATTCTAAATAGTTTGCTGTTAAAAGTGGGACCTCTTTATCCACCTTGCAAGAGAACAGACCTCAGGCACTTCAGTGGGGCTTGTATTTTGTTCAGAGAGGTAAAGATTGAGTTGCCTAGCAAATATTTGTTTATAAAGTCTTTTTTTATTTCACTGAGTTTTGTCATTGAATAGTGTCTGGACTCTTGCTTCAAGTTGTCTTTTAGTCTGTAGTCCACATTATAATTGATTTTTGACCACAAATCGGTTGAATTAGAATCCCTTGTGCAAACACCTGCTTTGACTTTAGTAGCCATAAAAGATTTTTTAAATAATTCAATTTAATAATGGAATTTACCTGTGTTCATGATTATTATTATTTCTGGTACATTACGTTTTTATTGATAGTTAATATTATCGACTTTGATTTAGAAATTCATCCGAAAATTTACTCATTCTGTAAATAAGAAAGCTTGTTGGAATTGATCACTTTACAACAGGTTTGCACCATGACCCAAAAGTTTTCCCTGAATATAGCCGTTAGATTTGTTTCTTTCAATTTTTTCTTTTTTAGATAGATCAGAAAAATATACATTTTCTCAAATATATATGGAGTAAACCCTTTTTATGTTTGAGTTGTTTACAATTATGTAATTAGTTTGCTTTAAATAAGTTCCAATCACAAGGCTTTGTTTATAACAACCACGATCTCCGAATAATATAAGACCATTGCAAAAAAAATTTAAAATAATAATGCGATCAGAAAGGCCAATATAATAACTTTTAGGTTAGGGTGTTGGCATTTGGTTTCTCTAGCATGTCGTTATTTACATCTATCCCAAATCGGTTTGACATCAAAACCCTACAAAATGCACATAATACTCTCAGACCAGCTAATGCTGCCATTTTATTCAAAGAGCTATAGACATTGGAGCAGGTGGTACTACGCGCACAGGGTAGGAGGGCTACAAGGACAGTGTTTCTCACCAATAGTCTAGTGCTGAGCCCTCTATTCCTTTGTTAAATAGATGGCTCTGGTTTGGTGTATTTCAAATAAACAGACCCCTTAAAGAGAAGTAGATGACTAAAGTAATATTTTCTTCAGTGAAGTGTAGTTCCTCTTTTTTTAAGCCTTTTTCTTCCTCCTCAGTGGAATGAGTAATATTTCTAAATTGTTGTATTATAGTGTTCTGCTTTTTCATGTACTACAAGCCTTTGATGTGGAAAAAATGTATTTTTAACTAAAAAAAGCATACTAAGAAAAGTTTGGTGGGGGAAAAAAACAGGCAAGTAGAAATATAATTGGTTAAAATGTATAAATCCCGTAATGTATATTATTGAACAAGCAACCTTTAAAGGAATAATCCACTCAAACTTTTGGTATTTGTTTCATTAGTCCACTGTTGATAATGAAACAAATTCCCAAATATATTTTTTGAGTGGATTATTCTTTTAAGTGTAAAAAAAGGACAACTTTCCTTTTGTACTCTTCTTCACCGCAGTCTATAGTAACCTCACTGTGTAATGTGCTCTGTAAAATTGTGTTCTCTCCATTCTTCACATTCTGCTTATGTAGCTACAAACATAGGACTATTCCTCATGGCCCAGTTTTTAAAAAGGTATCTGGATTTCGCCTATCGGATAGGATTAAATGCATAGAAATAGAATGACTAGAACAGAAGTCTCCATTCAAGTCAATGATTCGTCCATTCTGTTCATTCTATTTCTATGCATTTAATTCTATCCGATAGGTGAAATCCAGATAACTTTTTTAAAACTGGGCCCTGGACATGAATGTATGGCAACTTGTCTCTGCGTTCTTCAGCACTTTTCCTTCTCTGTGATGTTTCTCCCATCAATATGAATTTTTTTTAATGTTCGTAAATGCAAATGAACTGGGGCTGTCCATTTGATTCATTGGCAAAGGTGGTTGATAATGAAGTGTTGAATGTTGTTTACATTGGAGTCATTGATGGTTATTTGCTGGGAAGTGACTGTAAGACAGATATACACTTTTGTTCATGTTATATTTTTGTTGCTGAAATTTCTGTCATGTCTCCTATAGTTCCCTCAAAATGTCTACCTGTTTTCTTTTTTGAGTTAGGCCTAGCTGTCATTGTTCCATAACCTGGTGCTATTTTGTTGCATTTCCTATCACTATACAAGTCAATGTTGATATTCTGTTAGATCGAGATCAAAACATTACATATTTGAATGGAAGTCGAGTGAAGAGGATGTTATGAAACCTAGTTGACATGGACGAGCCCTTGCTGCTGTTGTACAAGGGCACCTGACTCCTACTGTATACTGTGACTGGAATATGTTTTCATAGTAACATGTCTTCTGCGTTGGCCTCTTAACATGCCATTAACTTCAATATATTAGGTGATAGTTTACGGTAGTGGCATTGCTGCTTGTTGTGATTGATCCAATACAACGGAGGTGTGTTCATAGACTAGGTATGCCAGAGATACGCGAGGGATCAGGAGTGTTGCATTAATAGTCGGTGGAATGGTCAGAAAAAGCTGGTTAATTTCAAACAGGCCCACTTACGATGAGGGAAAGGCTTGCTTACCACCTATCCTCTCTTTCCAATGGAGACATCTAGAGAGGGTCCACACCTATCAGGATAAAGATGCTTGTCATTGAGGAGCACTAGAATAGCTACATGTCTCCTTTCAACAATACCCACATCTTTACCAGTCATTTTGATATCATTCGCCCAATATGTGTGGAATAAGGGCAAAGATAGGCTAAAAAGTCATAGCATTATCATAGCAAATCTCCATTCAGGCAACACACAGGAGGAGATGCGGTACTGTACTGTACCATTCACCCCTGTTGATGTGTGTATCACAGAATCCCTCCACAGAAAGACTACTTTGAATCTCCTCCTCCTGTCTGATATCTTGTATGGCTGTCAGAGCATCTACTAGCTGCAGTATATATTTTTTACCAATCTCTAATGCGTTCACTCGATGGAACGCCTCCTCTTTCTAATAACCCAAGTAGAGTGCTGTCAAATGTCGTTGACAAATTTGAGCCTTTTGGACTAGGTTTTTCTTAGTTTTTTCCCTTAAAGGTTTTGAGGAAATCGAAGAAGGCAGTAAATGTCCCCCTCCCCTCCACCACCCTATAGATGTATAAGAGATGAGGGACCATGATGTGACTATGCTTAGATTGCTGAGGGATTGAGCTGTAAACATTGGGCTGGAGAACCACAGCATTGCAGTGAGTCATTCTAGCGGTCTGGGCCTACTCAAGGGAGGCAAGGGAGCGTGTGGCATGGATTTGTTTTTATAACCCTGCTGTCTGTCAGCAAACCATAAAGGTCTGTCCACCAGTCCAAACAAACCACAGGGATGCTTAGAGATCTGGGTCGGGATTCTCTTCCCCCAGTCCTAGGGATGGGCATCTTGGGACCTGGAGAGCTGCAGGGAGTGCAGGCTTTAGTGCTGTTTAGTTTAGGTAATTTGCACATAATGATTTACAATAAAATAGAAGAAAGATTAGAATAAGCCCTGAAAGCTGGTGAAACAAAGGCCTACACAGCTCTCCATGAACGGAGTTGCCCACCCCTGTCTCAATCCCTTCATCTGAAATTCATGGTTGAGCCTACTGTTTTGACAGGTGAAACAATCATTATTTTTTGCTTTGAGCTTTAGTATAAAATGACTACAAAAAAAGACAAAAACTTAAAGAAAAAAACAAATATAAAAAATCACTTGTTATCAAAAAATGTTTATGTAAAATGGTCATATCAAATGTATTTCAAAATTACATTAAAACTTTTAACAGAAAGCAAAACTTGTTTTGTTGTTTTCATGGTTTACTCAAATAGCTTTGATCGTATGGCTTAACTTGCATGTTAGGTGAACTAGAGTAAGTAGTTTCGAAGTACAATAGCCAATCCTGCAAGCTCAGACCGTCTCTGTGTAGTAAGTGTTGCTGTCTCGCCACAAGAGGGTGCTCTTGGTCTGAAGATGGTTCAATATCAACACAGTATCAACAGAGACAGTTCATCTTGTTAGCAGTACCAAATCCTCAAATTGGAGGAAAAATTGTGAAATGGCCTCTAATCATATTTTTACAACATTATCATTTGAAGATAATACCTCTGAAACCACCGGCGGTGCCCTTTAATGGTTGTAAACTGCTAATTATATGTATTTATCTAATTTGTCTATTTCTGCAATTCTTGCTGAATAAATAGCTTACAGTATACGCTCAGTGGCCAGTTTATTAGGTACAACAATCTAGTACCGGGTCGGACCTCCCTTTGCCTCCCGAACAGACTGAATTCTTCGGGGCATGGAAACGTTGTTCAATTGGTATCAAGGGACCGAACGTGTGCCAGGAAAACATTCCCCACACCAGTACACCACAACCAGTCTGTACTGTTGACACCAGGCAGGATGGGACCATGGACTCATGCTGCTTACGCCAAATCCTGACTCTGCCATCAGCATGTCGCAACAGGAACCGGGATTCGCCGGACGATGCAACATTTTTCCAATCCTCAATTGTCCAGTATTGGTGATCGCGTGCCCACTAGAACTGCTTCTTCTTGTTTTTAGCTGATAGAAGTGGAACCTGGTGTGGTCGTCTGCTGCAATATCCCATCCGTGATAATGACCGACAAGTTGTGCCTTCCGAGATGCCGTTCTGCACACCACTGTTGTACTGCACCGTTGTTTGCCTGTTTGTGGCCCACCTTTTAGCTTGCACGATTCTTGCCATTCTCCTTCGACCTCACATCAAGGAGCTGTTTTCGCCCACAGGGCTGACACTGACTGGATATTTTTTGTTTGTCGCACCATTCTCTGTAAACCCTAGACTCTGTTGTGCGTGAAAAGCCCAGGAGGCCGGCCGTTTCTGAGATTCTCGAACCGGCGCGCCTGGCACCAACAATCATGCCACACTCAAAGTCGCTGAGGTCACTACTTTTGCCCATTCTAACGTTCAATCGAACAGTAACTGAATGCCTCGATGCCTGTCTACCTGTTTGATTTAGCAAGACACATGACTCAATGTCTGTAGGAGCAAACCATTTTCGTGAACTGGGTGATGTACCTAATAAACTAGCCACTGAGTGTAGTACATCTATATATTTCCATATTATATGCTTTTAAGTGGTGCGTAACCATTTTGGTAAGGCCATCCTGGTATTACTATGCACTCAGATGGTTTAGTCCAAAAATGACTGGCTAAATACAGTAGATGCATTTCAACTACCTGAGTGGCGCAGTGGTCTAAGGCACTGCATCGCAGTGCTAACTGTGCCACTAGAGATCCTGGTTCGAATCCAGGTTCTGTCGCAGCCGGCCGCGACCAGGAGACTCATGGGCGGCGCACAATTGGCCCAGCGTCGTCCAGGGTAGGGGAGGGAATGGCCGGCAGGGATGTAGCTCAGTTGATAGAGCATGGCG